GGCCTGGGCCTGCATCTCGTTCGGCTCGGCCGACTGCGCCACGCGGTCGGCGTGGAAGATGTGCTCTGTGTAGCCCTTGGCGGGGTCGAATCGGTTGTAGCTGGTCATGCGCGGCTCACAGGGGAATGACGATTTCTTCCGTGGCCTTGGTCGTGCCGCTGCGCAGCACGGGCGGCCGGTTCTCCAGGCAATACACGGTGCCGGGGTTCTCGATCTCGCCGGGCGTGAGATAGCGTTTGCCGGCCGGCACCTCAGGCTTTGCCACGGTGCCGAAGAACACGCCGCATTCGCGCACGGTTTCGCCTTCGGCGTCGGCAAAGGCAAAGGTGGTGCGCAGCACCAGGTAGGGCGTGGGCTCGGCGCTGGTCTTGTAGTAGATGGGGCCGGGCAGCTCGATATCGTGATCTGCCAAGGTGCCAGGGCGGGCATAGCCCACGTCCACCACGGTGCGGCGGCCTATTTCGTCGCGCAGTGCGGTGCGGTCGGTGGGGTTGGCGGGGGGCGACTTGCCACTGGCCATCGCCGCGCCCCCATGCGATATGGCAGGGCATGGCGGCCAGGGATTTGGCCAGGGCAATGCGGCCGGCGTCTTGCAGTGTTTGCATGCGGTACTCCGTCTATTCGGTGGATTCGGTGGTCTTGCCGTGGATGTTCGATTGCTGCCAGCGGTCGCCGTCCCAGCGGCCCGTCCAGCCCCGGGCAGGCGCCACGCGGGGCCGGGCGGCGCCTGCAGTCCAGTGGCTGGTGGCCCCCGGCGATTGGCTGGGCCGTGCGTCTGCGCTGGACGCCCAGGCCTCGCCGTAGGCGCTCAGGGGCTGATGCGGGACATGTGGTGCGGTCTGGCCCGGCGTGTGCTGCAGCTGCCCCCCGGCCGGCAGGCGCTGCATGCGGCCGTCCCAGCGCCACACATCCAGGCGCAGCTGGTCAGCGCGGCGCATGCGGCCGCTGGTGTGCTGGTGGTCGGCGCTGCGCAGCGGGGTGAGGTTGGGGCGCTGGGCCTGGGACTGGTTGATGCGGCCTTGGCTGCC